GGGGGGGGGGGGGGGGGGGGGGAGGGCTCCGCCCCGAGGTCCGAAAGCCTTACCGGACTTTTAGCCTTTTATAGGAGATATACGATCCCTTATGTTTGTAGCCTGCGTGTAAACGTTCCACTATGTCCTTCGTTTCACTCCTTGGCTGCTAAGGAACCGAGCATTGTTTTTTGAGGGGGGAGGGGTTGGGCAATTTTCTGGGGCATTAAATTTTTTTCTCACCTTTAGGTTGTGCAGGACTTTTTTGGTGGACAATTGTGCAAGAAATGTTTTTAGAGTCGAACACAGGACCTGAATGGTAGAAAGCACTTGCTCGAATTTTTCTCCATGCATGCTCCTCTTGCACGATTGTTTTGTTTTGTTTTGTTTTGTTTTCAGCCGTTTTTTGCTCCTCGGGTTAGGTTGCCCTAACTCGAGTAAATCAAAACAATTCTGGGCGGAAGGACATTGACCCCTTGTTCCTCTTGTAACGTCATCACTTTTTTATGACAGAAGATATTTAGTCTCATGTTAAGCTGGTGAAGTTCAGCTAGCGGGTAGGAATAGACACCTGTACTGATTTAAATGTGTTTAATATTGAGTCTTGTTTAGTTACATCTATCCCTTGAAAGATTAACAGCTCTTGTCATGCATTTGTCCCTATCTACTATCTTAAATAACAATAGCAATGAAGCCGAAAACTGTTCCAAATTGAGTAAGAACTGGAAATAAATTTGCTGCTAACTTCTGAACTAGATTTGAAATATCAATCATCTTCTCGTCTTCGCGAGGTTTTCTCGTTTTTTCTTTACATTCTTAATTTTCCCCTCTGTTTATTGACCTGAGAACTGTGTGACTGAGATTTGACACCATTAGTTTAATCTTCCTACAGCCATTGACGAATGCCGACCAAATCCTCTTCCAAAACCTCTCTTCCTGCTCTTCATTCAAAGGAATCTCTCTCGGGATTTCCTCCGGGTCATCAGGACCTTGAGTCGTATCACATTCAGGAATCAGCAATTGGTTGTCATCCTCACAAGAACTGCAGGCGACTGCAGCCGCAGGAGCACCAGGGGCAGCAGGAGCAGTTGAAGAACCCGGAAATTTCAAACGATCCTTGTTAATTCGATACAAAGTTAACCCTGATGAGACGCTCATGACAATGTAACAGCTCATCCACAACTTAGAGAGCCAGTTCTCACAAGTTGGAAGGCGAAGTTTTTTGTAAGTTCCCGTCGGGACTACTGGAAGGTCTTCTCGCACTTTGCAATCAATCCCGAGGTCGTCGAGGAATTCATCGATTGCTTTGTCCCAAGAATATTTCTCATTCATAAAGTAAGCTAGTTCGTCTTCTTCATCAGGATCGCTGATTCTGTTAGCGAAGTTTAAGGCCACCACTGCCTTCTTCCACAGATCTTTTCCAAAATATTCCGTCATGGTCCGAATCGCGTTTTTATCTGCGTCCTGAAACCGTGTTTCGGTCATACTCAGGCAGTAGATCATAACATCAAACCCTCTGTCCAGCTTGTGCTTCATGTCGGCGAGGTACTTCCTTTCGTTGCATGATCCATCTTGTAGGCCGGGTGAATCCCACACGACAACTTCAATACCATCAATCACAGCTCGGTGTGCGGTGACGGTGTCCGTGCAAGCCGTTCTCAGTCTTCCTTCCTTTGCAACTTGTCTTCCAACCAGAGCGTTCACAAGGCGAGATTTGCCAACGCCGGTCTTGCCTGTTACTAGAATAGACAAATGATTTTGGCAGTTTTCCGAAAACCACTCTGAATATCTGTGCCTGAGTGATCGGAGATCGTTATTGGATAGTTTAGCGGCCATTCTGTCTCTTTTCTTTACATAGCAAGTTTTATCGTACAAGTTAATGCCAGCCAAATGAAAGCGGAAGCGGCAGAGTATGTAAATAAATCGCGGAGGACATGGATCGAGCGATATAAGAATCGTAGGAATCATATATCATATGACTACAATCTTAGACAAAATAAATGAAAAAAAAATTAACACCACCCCTCCCCCCCATTTCAATGATGGAAAAAATGGCGTGTTTTGGTTGTAGCGCGAGTTCATCATTGATTCGGGGGGAGGGGTGGTTTTATTTCTTATTTTATTCTGTCCAAGATTGTAGCTTCCCGATGGCGCTATCTTGCCCGCGCGGGATTACCCGCGGGATTACCCGCTATTTCCCGCAAGAAAATGGCGTTCTTTATAATTTTGTTACTTTTCGGTTTCCTCAGCCAGTTTTGCGGGTTTAGAGTGGTCGGTAACCGTGACCTTGGAACTTTGCGTTCGTATTATTCCTCATTAGTCATCGTTACGTTGATTTGAGAATTTTAATTCAGCAGTGACTTTATGTACCAGAGAACAATGGAGAAAGCTCAGGAGATTTGTCGTGCTCAGGTCTCGTCGGCTAAGAGAGTCGAGCGACCCTGAGAACAAGAATGGACTTTCGACCGCCAGATCGATTTGATGACGTGTACGGATACATAAGTAGTCTATAAGTGACGAAACTTCCAGAAGCGTTGTAGGATATTATTAGAGACACGATAAATTCAAAACAGAACGCATATAAGCACACTTTGTAAGTTAAGTGTACCGGTTTATCAAGAAATAATTGCTTTCCTCATGTCTAGTGACGCGGTCGTTAAGTAATTTTCCGTCTAGTCATGTGTAATTACACAGTTCCTAATTATAATGTTCGCATTGAATTTGCATTGCTTTCCGATAGACCATGTGACCAGTTTTTTATTTTCCGCATAACGCATCCTTGCATCATTTCTCAGTCAGACACGCTGTCAGCCGCTACTGAAGAACGCGAGCCAATCTAATACCACTTCATTGGGTATAGAAAAAGCCGTTTCAATTGAAATCTGAAAGTTTGGAAAAGATGAAATCCATTTTGTCCCTTTGTGTTATTTTCGTGCTTGTTGTTTGCTACTCAGGCAGTCCAGTCGCTAAAAAGGTGAGTGTAACCGTGCGCACACTTGGTAAAAATGATGCGCGATACAGGTTCCTGAATCAGTGAGAGCAGAAGCTATAAATTAAAATAACTTTCTGTCATGTCAAGTTCAATCATCTTAAAGTATGAAACTCTGCGTGCAATCCTTAAGGAGGGACATGTTTTGGGCAGAGGGTGCGCACGTTTTGAGCTCGTCAAGGAGCCCGGCAAATGAGCGAGTTAATACACTGCAGACTTTTCTAGTTATACTCTTCAGGCGTCGCTTTTTCTTATTGTTCAATAAAAGATACTGAATACGTGTATTTTCTGAACTCTGTATTAAGGTTTGATCGCTGGCTTCGTACGTCAGGTTTTTCCACTGCCCCTTAAAAATATTAGTTAGCAAATGCACAGAGAGTGAGCACACCTTAATTTGCGGTTAGCGTCTGTTGAACAGTCTTATTGCAGTCTACATTACTAGTTTACATATCATTATGATCAAAGACAGACATTCAGTGATGGAGTTTAGAGTTTTCTTGGAATCAACTGCGCTGCTGATACTGCGAATGGACGGAACAGCATCCCCAAAAGAAAACGAAAGTGTCACGAATAGCGTTAAAGGGACACTCGGGAGGTTGATTTCATAAAGTTTCAGTCTGCATGTAATTACGAACCACGAGGTCACAGACACAGCAACAACTCTTGCTGTTAACCTGCAGGAATGCGGAACTTATTATCAACTTATGACTCTGTTCGAAAATGAAAGCCATGCATGCCATCACGCAATTTTCACAGGAGCGATCGAAACGTTTAATTTCTCACTGAAGAGGACAAGTGGTAAGAATTTTTTTWAAAAAAGTCATAATCGTGTATCACCAAATACTCCGAACTGCTGTTAGAAGAAATGTGTGATATTCGTTAACGAGATTTGCTATTTCGATCTTAACTTGTTTTAAGATCTAAAAGTGAAAAGCATACGGCTGACTGGCGCCAAAGGAGAAAAAAAGTTCAGTTCCTCTCGATTCATTCTGTTACTTTTGCGTGCAGCGAATTTCTTATCTTGAGGAACTATCTCAGCCTCGAGAGCAGAACAGAAAGAACAAGTTATCAGTCTTCCGGAAATCTCAGTGAATTGAGTCTTGAACTTCGATTGGAAATGTTAACAAATGTTGGCTCACGTGCCTTGTTTCTAACAAATATTAATCAACCCAACATTGCCATTTAACAAATGTTGCCATCAATATTGGAACGTTAAACTGGCGTTTAAATATATATAGCCCTCGTATAAGCTGATTTATGTGCATTTGGCATTATATTACGCTGATTGTTTTGTTTTCAGAGCAAGCTTGTTCAAGGGATTCAAGACTTTGCAGTGGAATCTCAACCAAGGTCCAAGCGATCGGTTAGTTAGCTACTCAATCACACTAGCCCAATACAGTTATGACCTAATGTGAATTAATAGCTTTAACATTTTTGTCGAACTTGTCCACAACGACAATCACACAAAGTGGCCAACAGTCATGGGAATTATAAAATAAGTGATGATATAACAACCAGTGAAACTAGGAGAGGTGTCCATACTTTATTTCAAGGAGATGAACTAGCGGATGATTCATAACACTGCAAATTGAGTGTGGCCGGAGTCAATCTTAGAAAAAAAAAAATTGGCACCTCGCGCGCGCGTGGCGCACCTAATCCATGCTGGATAGTGCTGTGATAACTATTATATTATATTATTATATTGATGGTATTTATTTTCCTCTTTAGATTGAACTCTTACCTGGTATCGCCAAGAGTGCAGCCATTCGTTTCTCGGAAGCAGTTTCCAAAGGGAGAAACAAACGTTCGGTAAAAAACAGACATTTTCTTTTTCCTCTCTTCTTCTCAGTTCTTTGCCATTTGAAGATGATTTTCAAACAGTGAGACCGAAACTACTGATATTTACCCACAATGTTTTCAACTGGTTTTCAGTTTAAATTCTCGTCTACTTCTTATGTTGCTATTCGCGTATAACTAAGGGCGACGTATCTAGAAATGCTTTTATTTTTATATTGCAGTACTTGTTTTCTTCATTTCCCATAAGATGTATTTCGACGCTATCGCCTGACCTCCATATTTATTTAAACTGCGTTTCTCTAAAAACACAACGAAACAGTACACATGACTAAGTGGTGGCCTTTATTATCAGTTTATTATTTTTATTCTTTATTTTATGCTATTACATTTTATTATTGTTATTTGCAGAATGATGTGATTCTTAACGCTTTGGCTCAACTTCGAGAGTGAGTTATAATTGATTTATAATCATATATTGATATATTGCTTCTTCCATACGTCTTTCAATTTTTCATCACCTCGCGATTTGTAGCTATTTGTTGTAGGTTTTTATTTCATGAATTATATTTCGCAATAGTAAGTTTCAAAATGTGTAGAACACAAGTTGCGTTGTAGTAGCACAAGCCATTTCGTAAAACTGGATGACAAACATTATTGTCACAAATCAGGAAACGGTTATTCATTATTTTAAAGGGAAGATATAAACGTGCCTCATGTTGCGCGACTCAGGTAATGCTTGAAAAAACATAACGGAGGAGCCTAGTCTAGTAGTCAGTTCTCGTCACATATTGTTCATATTTCGAATCATTTATCTCTTTGGCGTACAGGAACCAGATAACCTCCCACGGAATCGCAAAGATATTTTCAAGGTAAGATAGTGAATGAAACAAAATGTTTTTAAAAATGTTATTTTATCGTACCAACGATTAAACATTTGATGACATTCTGTTTTAGCGATTTGGCGAACAGCTTGGCCGAGGAAAAGTGAAAACTTCAGAGAAGCAAAACATCATTAAGGTAAAAATAAATTATTTTTTTCCAGACGCTTAGTTGAACAATCGCTTCTGATTTTATTTGGGGTTGTCGTGAGAAAGTTTAATAATGGCCTCGGTAACGCACGCAGAGGTCAGCGACGTCATACCGTGGGCCTGTTGGGTGGTGGTGGGGGGAGATTTTACATTTCCAAAAAGCAATAGCTTTGGACGCGTCTTAGTCGTCCATGTTGGTTTTAACTGGACAGAACTTGCACCCACTTGGAACTGGGTAGCACTCTATAAGAAACTATTAGATGTGCAAAATTCAAAAAGCCCTACACAAATGTCGACACAAACAGTCTGAGATAGGGTATTGGTTTGCATAGAGGCAATTTGCTATTGTTATCACTGATTCCGAGCATTCTATTGTCAACATCAGTATTGAATCTGAAAACAAACTCTTGTCCTGTTGGAGACATATTTAATCTGATATAATTCAGCTTCATGGTTACTAGTAATTTAAACATTGCCGCTGGTTTCCGCAAAAAAATCAGCAGCTAACTTCTTGAGATGCGTGATTTGACAGCTTTCTGGTTTCATTATGATTGTTAACATTATGGAACCTTTTCGACTAAGTTTCCATATTTTCTGCAGTAAAGAATTTAAATCACATTTTTCTTTCTCTTAAAACCAGGTGATGCTTGCATGCCAAGGAAGACAACACAACATGGAGCCATAACGGCTAGCCAACTTATTCTTAGTAGTAGTATTTTGTAGGTAAAAAAATAAAGCTTGATACTTGACATTGAATGGTTTGATTCATTTGCAAATTTAACAAATTTTTCACGCGTCTGTCCTGTTATTGATCATGACTTCCGTCTTAACATTGTCAAAGTAGCTGTGGATCCACGAGGCGATAGCCGAGTGGATCCACAGACTACTTTGACGATGTTATGACGAAATTCATTGTCAACAACAGGACAGACGCATTAAAAACTAACATCAATTTGTTTTTTACGATACCAAATTGTCCGCTTATTGACAATGAAAATTAGCCAATAACCGCGCGAGAATTTCTGCAGTTATCGTAAAAAACATTATTTCAGTTTTATTTCAAGCAACATTAAAAGAACTCCAACACCTACTGCTCCACCGACTAGGTCAGGTCTTTTAAGAATGTTAATACAGTACAACTTGAATGCTTCCCACGTTAAACTCCAAAACTGCCTATGCTGCTCTTGGTTCAAAGGAATTTCGTCTGGGATCTCCTCACGCTCGGCGCTCTCAGCTGAACCACAAATAGCACCTAACCTTCTAGAATCGGGAAACTTACATCGATCCTTGTTGATTCGGAGCAGGGCTACTCTAGACGAAATTTTCATACGTCGATAGCAGATCAGCCAGAATTCAGTTAACCAGTCTTCAATCGTAGGCAGACAACGTTTCTTGGCAATTCCCACCGGGACAACAGGAATTTCATCGCGTATTGTGGAATCTAACTCAAGCACGCTATCACTGGCGAGGAACTGATCGATTTCGTTTTTCCAAAACTTCAAGTCACGCAAAAAGTATTCCCGTTCGTCTCCTTCATCTGGGTCGTCGATCTTGTTGGCAAAAGTTAAAGCAATAACTGAATTCTTCCATAAATTCTTCCCAAACTCTCGGGTTAGGGTACGAATCGCGTCTTTGTCATCTTTATGAAACCTCTTGTCGTCCATCTTGATACAGTAGATCATAAGGTCGAGCCCTTCGTGTAATTTCTCTCTCATATCCTCAAGGTACAACTGTTCATTGCATTTACCATCTTGCAGTCCTGGAGAATCCCACACAAGGACCTGGGTGTCATTAACAACAGTTCTGTACTCGTTAACAGTGGCAGTACATGGCTTTTTCTGCTGACCTTCAAGAGCCACTCCATTGCCAACTAGAGCATTGACTAGTCGAGATTTACCCACGCCAGTTTTCCCCGTGAGGAGAATAGACAGTTGTTGCTGGCCATCCCTTGAAAGCCACGCAGTAAACGTAGTTTTTAAATCAGGATTTGCAAATTTTGAGGCCATTCTTGACTGTTTTCTCTCGATCTAGAGCATCTACAGAACTGTTCGGTGCTGAAACACTTTGTGCGACGAACGACTGTTTGGGTTCTTTCTAGTGCCCAGAGCCACTTGTCTCTCTTAACCGTCGGGGCCTTATAACGAGGAAAAGGCAAGCTCTTGAGACAACCCTCGAGGCACATGTTTGGTCAGATTCTTAGCCTGGAGAGATTTTGGCTAATTCAGCGCTGATTTCATTACGAGACTCGCAGGAAGTACCTGCTAACTTGCGATTACTGTTTATAACCTGTTAACCAAAATTTTACAGTATTGTGTTATAAACGGGTTGGTATTCCTTTTCAAAAATGAAATTATTTGTACCTGAGAAACGTGGCCAGAGCTAGTTTCCCCCAGGCCAGAGTTCATCAAGAAATAGAATGGCTAAAGCTATATGTAAAAGGGTCTAATATATTTATTTCTGTTGTAAAACGATGTAATTTAACATAATAACTTAAGTACAACCACATCTTTTATTCATCTTTTAAAATTTATCCAGTAACGATATTTTACACACCACTGCAAACAATTTCAAGTACACGGGCAACAAATACTAATATATCAACAACCGAGGTGGCCTCTGCTACTAAGCCTGGTGGATTTTTGGAGCTTTTTGTTATTGTTATTATTTTTTTTATTACTAATAGCGGTGAAGCAAATAAACGATTTGACGAATCTACATGAAAACCTGAAAATGAATCTTTGGGAATAAGTTTGGTCTTTGCCAGATCACAAGGAAATTTGTGTACCAGTTGTAAAGTAACAAGCTCTTTTCTTGCTTGTTTCAGCTTAACTCACGACATGCCACGTCACGTCAACAATATCTGATATCTGTCAGCATTGAACACAACACAATATTATAAAGTGTCCTAGTAGGACAGTTTTGAAAATCGTTGCATGTCTAATTCGAAAGCTGCACTTCATTTGCAAGTGATTGAACGGTTTAACTTTATGTATACGGCCGTTAGACTTAGTGGAGTGAAGGTCCTTCAGTCCTCGCGCGTGGTGATTTGATATTTCGCGCGCGCGCAGGGTCTATTGACTGACCAACCCTGAGCAAAATAAAATGAGAGACTGGGTACCAGAACTTTCTTAGCGCGCGATAGACCGATGCTTCCGATGAGCTTGGCCGAAACCGGAACCGTGCACGAACATGCAGCTTCTGTTACTTAGGAAACTCCTAGTCCGAAACTATCTTTAACACTTTAACATATAAAGCTTATTTGTGTCTCTTTTGTAGATACAAATGTCACATTTATAACGAGTACTAAACTCAATTTGTCTGTATATATATTAAATGTACTCTTTTCATTAGAAATATATGTAAGAATGTCTAACGGAATTCAAAGTGAAAACAAAAAGATGCGCTTGTTTCAAAATTATTCATTGCAATTGTGTGTTGTGGGAAATCACGAATTCAGTCGCAAAAAGAGGTACCAGAAGATAGCAAAAGAAGCATGGAACATTTTTCATTTTGCTTGGTAGATGAAATGAGAGAGATGCAAACCAACATAGGAGAAAGATATGTCCCTCATTGGTGAACACTAAATTTACATCTTCGCCGAGTACCAGAAGATCGTCCAAGAACGGCACCTGTTACGGTCACCGACTGCATTATAGCTTCAGCGCGCATGCGCACTTGATCTCTGATCATTTTCAAGAAGCTACCAAGCATTCAGTTCTTGTGCCTTTCTGCGGGTTACTGCTGAGCGTTAGTGTGTGCAGGCTCCCCAGGTCAGCCACAAGCCAGTCCATATGAGTTTTGTCTTGTACAGTAAAGTGTCCAGGGCTTGCCCATGACAACGGACGAGGCTGTGTAGGTCAAATAAGAAGTCATCAAATCTCCTTAACAGTGACCAATTAAGTTTGGGTCTGAGAATATGGTGCTAGAGAAACCAAAATAAAGCACCGGTATCAATGAACCAGAGGGCTCGGGGCTACACTTTTTAATGTTTACCCTCACCTTTTTATCTCGTCGGTTTCCTTCGACTTTCCTGGGGAACATCCTGAAAAAGGAAAATTTTAGTCGTTCAAGAATTAGCAGGGGAATTCTATTCTGCTAGGTTTCAATTGAGACGTTCATAAAGTTATAATTATTATTATTATAATTATTATAATTATAATTATTATTATTATCATCATCATCGTCATTGTTGTTATCATTATCAATATCAATATCATTATCATTATCATTATTAAAGATGTAAGAGGCGTGTAAAAATCACTTCAGTGTAGGAAACAGCACTCACGTTCTAGATGCTATACTCCTTCGCCGCAGTGTCTTGAGTGTCTCTAAGGTGATGGGTGATTGCTGTTGAAAACATGGACATCGTTAAAATGATCAGTAAATAAATTATAAATAGAAAAGCTATTTTGATGTATTTATTCCCTGACTACGCGTAAACAAATAAATTAGCGCGGAGATTTCACATTAGTCTGGCAGCAAGAAAAAGAAGGTACATTTTAAGCTTCAATCAAAGCTTCAATCCTGCCTTGAAATAATCTCGGCGCTGAGCGGAGGAAATGAAACGAGTCATAGACTCACCTTCTTTTGTAACACATCCTCGAACGATATCTCGCTGAAATACGCGTACGACTTCAATGATTCCACACTTGACAGCCTCAACTCGGGGTCCTTCTGAAGAAGCTGTTGAAAAGAAGAGCAATTTGAACAAAAAAGGAAAAGAAAGAAACCCTCCACAGTAACCTATTTTGTTACTCAATACGTTAAAGGAGCTAAGTCACGGATTGCGTATCTTGAAACGCTTAGCCTAAATTTTTCAAGTTCGTTGTTTGTAATCTGTGTCAATCTTCTCCATCCTCAACCATCCTTGTTTCTTTATGGTTTATTATCATCTCTTTGGTGTTCTTCTGTCTCAGTAAACTACTATTTTCAAGTTTCCTTCAACGTAAAAGGTAAATTTGGAAGTGGCCAAAATACCCTCAGTCAAGACAAATCTGCATACCCCTTGAAGAATGCTCACAGCACTGGGCGAAAGGTTAGATGGGAATTCAACCTCTATACCGCTGACCACCTTGTGCTGACTGGCGTGCTCTGGCGTTGTCGGGTATGGATACTGCAATGATATGAGAGACAGTATTTCATTATTATATAAATGAAACAAACAAACAAACAAACAAACAAACAAACAAACAAACAAAGAAACAGACAAGACAAGACAAACAAAAAACAACAACCACAAACAAATACAAGGACCAGAATCTCTTGTTTTAGGAGGGCCATTTGTATTTTTGTTTAGTCTCGGTATAATCTCTTTTCGTGATCTCACTCTGCCGTCAACATTATGCCGGAGATATTTGAAAACGTAGCTTTATTTCTACGGTTAGGACTACCGTCCACATTAATGCGGAGGAAACGGAACCGGAGGAATTTGATAACGCTGACTCGGTGACTTTTCGTGTGGAAGGAAGACATTTTGAAAACGGGGCTTGGCAAAAACGATGACGTCACGATAATCACGTGATTTTCCTGCCCGAGATTTACTCAAACACAAATCCAAAATGACCAGTAATTGTTGCGTTTTCAAATTTCTCCAGCGTAGTGTGGACGGAAAACATCTGATGCGTTTTCAGAGTGTAAACACCGTTTCCAAATTTCTCCGGCGTGGTATAATGTAGACGGGGCCTAAGTTCCGGTGACGACACCGAAACGAATTTGCAGTCAAGGCCTGGGAAAGAAAGAAACTTTTAGGTTTGTCGGAACTCCAGACAGAAAAGAGAGAAGTTGGCTTAAAATAGTTACCCTTCCGGCCAAGAGGGTGTAAATGACCACACCCAGGCTCCACCAATCCACAACATGAGTATACGCCTCTCCACTTAGGATTTCAGGAGCTACGAAACAGGGAAAAAAAGGAACAGTTAATTCTCAAACAAATGAAGAATTAAACGATTACGCCACCGGAAAAAACGAAAAGAAGATAGGCAGGTGATCATAGTACAAAAGTTGTCATGTTTCGCTTACACGCGCGTGGGTTTCGGAATCTTTGTGGTCGCTTTCACCGTCTAAACGCGATAAGATAAATGAGATGGTAATCAATATTGAACAAAATTTTAAAAAGGTAAAATGGTGCTTTTTTGTTCTCCAAGTTCGTGTTTTGCTATATTTCGGACCTTGGAAACACTGAATGACTTGTTACCATTAGTTCAGGGTGAATAATAAAAGGGAGTCTGATTCATAAAATTTTCAACCTTATTTTGTTTACAAACGATTGAAAGCAACGATTTCAAAACAATGTGGTAGTTCGTTTAAATAAAGATCCATTTTTGACTGAGTTTAGATGAAACAGCACGTCTTTACCGACGGCTAAGATTCATTTCCGTACGTAAAAGGAAGAACAAACCGCACCCAAAACCACGGGGTTTAAATAAAACCGTGTTCATTGTGTTGAGGCAGTATTTCTGATTTCCCCTCAGCTCTTCAGGATACAATATACAAATATCGGCGGAAGAGAGCAACAATGCCTTTTACTCAAATCAATCGACTATTTCTGCGTGCAATCCCACATGAAATCTCATCACGGATCGCAACCTCACGGAAAGGAATTAAAAGGGTTTCCTCAGGATACAGACTTTCAACGTTTTAGGACGGAAACAAAAGGGGAAAAACAAAACAAAAAAAAGATTTCTGCATTAAGAAGGCTTTCGAGCCAGTGCTTTTCTACTCTAGTAAACTATCATTTTTTAAGGTTTCGTTCAATGTCTAGTGAATTTCAACCTTACCCATGTATTGCAATGTTCCGCAAATAGTTCCCGTTCTCTCTCCAAGTTTAACTAATTTAGACAGACCAAAGTCCACAAGTTTAATGTGCCCTAGAGCAAAGTAAAAAGAAAAAAAACAAACAAACAAACATTTTTTAAATTCTCTGTCTAGACACGCACTTAAAACATGCAGGCTAATGCATATTTTTCTCTTGCAAAGAATACATTTTGTACACAACATTATTATAAAATGGTACGGTTAAAATCCACCCCCTCCCGCTCCTCCCTCCATGCTTATAAATAACGAAAAAAAAAAAACTTTGAACATGTGCATTCAATGACATACCGGTAGTGATAAAACCTGATTTACTTGTAGCCCTCGTAAAACGAAATGAGTACAGAGGCATTTTCTTACCTTCATTGTCTATAAGGATGTTTTCAAGCTAAGGGAAAAACATTGGAACACACAAATATTATTAACATTACACATGGAAAAGAAGCCAATAAATATTATATTGACACACAGCAGCTGCCAGGGTATTTGGATCTGAAGGACCCGGCTTCCATTTGTTCACTTGGTTTAGTTCTCTGGTTCTGTTATGGGCTCTATACCTGATAAATGTAATAGGGGAAATTTAAAATTCTTACCTTTAAATCTCTGTAGATAATTCCTGATTTATGTAGGTAATCTGAGAAAAAAAAAACAGTGTGAAGAGCACAAACTGTAACCTTATAAAGGTTTTATGATTATCCAAAAATAATGAAAAAATTATTTAAAATAAATAAATAAATAAATACATAAATCCGTAAAGAAATTAGCTTTTTATTCTGGGTTTCAGGGTCAATAAGAAAAGATAATCATTCCATGAGTTGTGTTAATGTACACAAATANGAGTACAAAAAATACTGTAAAATCCCACATTACCCCAGTTATAAGTCCATCCAGATATAAGCCCCTCTATTTGTTAACAAAGATATTATTCCAGAAATAAGCCCTGAAACTCCCCTGGATATAAGCCCATCCAATGTTTAAGTGAGTTCCTTTGTGTTTTATAAATGTATTATAAATGTAATCCAAATGCAGTGATATTTTAGCTTTAATTCGTTTCTCAGATATGTTTTATCTTGTTGTTCCGAAACATTTTTTTAATTCTGCTTATATTCCCCACGGATATTAGCCCCCCTGTTATATAAGCTAGTTATATAAGCCCACTGGGCTTTAATTAATGTGGGATTTTACAGTAATCCATGTATAATATGAAAATAAATGCAGAAAAAGATAAGATAAATTGCAATATGAAATAAATGTATGTTACAAATAATATTATATAATTTTAGAGAGGAAGCCACATCAGCCTTTAGTTAACTCATTTTCATGCTTTTCCTCTACCCAAGTTGAATGGGAAGTTGGAAGTATAGTGAGCAAAACAAATTATTAATCATTAATTTTTTATTAATTCAATAAATTATTCATTTCTATCAACCAATAATTTACACTACATTTGTTACCTGCAACAGCAATATTTTTTCTCATATTCTCACCTGTATATTTACTTCATCTTTGCACTGCTGTACAGCATCCTGCTTAATTATCTCTGCTTTGTTTAGTACCTTGTAAGAGTGAAAAGTCAAGCTACATCTACTGAATCATACAGACATCTGGAGGCAAGAAGCATGTCAAATTTTTTTCTCACGCTTTTTTGGATCATGTGTACTAAAGGCATCCCCAGTTGAGTGTCAGTCGATACCCTCAAAAAATACTCTCAATCAAACCTCTATCGACACCTCTGTTGACACTGAATTGACATCTCAGTCAACAGCCAGTTGACAGGTGACTAATTTTTGACTGATACATATGAGTTGGTCGACACTCAACTGACTATCGACTGACTGTTGATCAACTGTCAATCAAGTGTCAACTGAGTATTGATTGGGATGTTGATTGAGTAGCGACTGAGATGTTGATCTAGGGTATCGATCGAGGGTAGCGATTGACACTTGTCTGTGGATGCCTTTAGTACACATGATCCTTTTTTTGTGTCAAGCTGGATGAACTAAGTGTTTAAAGGCACATGAATCTTTCTTTCACTTCTTCAGTGTTCTTAACAAGTCACCATTACTTTATTTGTTACTTATCAGCATTGCACTGTTACTTGATCTTGATTAAGCTTACCCATATCCTAGACTTATGTTCTTTACATACAGATATAATGGACTTAAAGTGGACTAATGATAGTGAGTGGATAATTCCTTGGACATCATGAACATTTTATAACACTGCAATTTTAGAGTATATATTTATTGTTTGTCCATTGCTCAGCCTCTTCCCTTTGACAGCATCTTTTGATATCTTTTGAAATCAGCAGCTAAATAAGGACAAACTTACCTTTATAGCAAATAATTTATTAGACTGCTTGTTTCGCACTTGAAGGACCTAGAGGAAAAACGACAAGAACTAGGGTTGGAGTACAGCTTGCTGCTTACAAGGTTGGTTTTTCAAAGCTATTTTAAAACATATTTGACATCTAGCTTGTACAGTCACTAGCTTGTTCAGGGCCATAGCCAGAAAAATATAATGATTGAGGCTTATGTCCCTGGTTAAATTCTCTTCCTAGGTATACATTTAGCAGTGTTTTAATTTATCCCTTCAAAAACAAAAACAAATGACTAAGGCAAGTAACTTGGTTTGCCTCATACTGGTCATGGCCCTGCTTTTATGACCGCATAATGAATAAAATATTGATTGTGCAGTTAGTGCTTTACAGTGCAAAGACTGATACTGGTATCTGCTTCCTTGATGATTCAATTACACACTCCCCACTCAAAATTACACATATTATATTTGCTTGACAGTTATACATTGAGGTGTCAGACTTTAAAATAAAAGCAGCCATCTGAGCATATTTTGTTAAGTACAAAGTCATGTAGTATTGAAAACAGAATGATGTTGTTCAATCATGACATTGTGTTACTCAGGGTACCTCAGCCTACACACTTCAGTTTCCAACAGATCACTGCTGTGCGAGTCCATTTAAATGGGGTTTTTGAGAGGTTTTTGAAATTTTTGAGAGCAGTTTTCAGCTGCACCCCAGAGAGAACTTATTATAAGTTTATTAGGCAATGAAAGTATCATGAAAGTACTTACGTGAGCAAATGCACCTTTTCCAACGGTTGCCAGGATCTAGAAAAAAATAGAGATTTAACATCACTATATAAACTCAAGCAGGCTAAAAATTACATTATCACAGGTATTCTAAATAATGCTTTAAAATGTAAAAGATCCGCAGCTCAAAACAAGACAACACATTTTAAAAAAATGTCATAGACACTGTACTGCTGATCAAAAAAATTACTATTGATGTTAATTTTTTGGGATCAAACTTTATTTTTCCAGAAGGGTTAATGCTAGAGCATTCTTTAAAAGATGAAAACTCTAAAACATTTAAAACTGCTTGCAAAAATTTGATGATTCGATGTTACTTGACAGTAACATGAAATAAATTTGAAACATGGTCAACAAAACAGTTTTAAAATTTTAGAGTTTTCTCATGCAGTTTAAGAACATTCTAGCATAAGAGCTTCACTTTAAAATGTTATTCAAACTCTCTTTTTATACAAACAATATTTAGCTGGAGTGATGAGCTTATTTATATTAACAAATTACAGTTGGAGACAAGCCAACCCTGTAAAATTGACAGCTGCTATGCAGAGGCTACAGATACATTGCCCCTTTGCTGGTTATGTACAATATTGTACATACTTGATTTAAAAATTATTTTTTGCTATGAAATTGCCTCCTTCCTTATCAACCGAACATTCTGCCGTATTGAACTGAACATCGCCAGCCATTGGCTTGTTTTAACAAGATGTGACCGTCTGTTCTTAAGCTTGTCTCCCACTGAGAGTAAACAAACAACACAATAACCGCCAATGTGAGAAACTGGCGACAGAAGTTCCCGCCTGTTTTTAAAATACAGGCGGCCACTTTCTTATTTTCCCGCAAGCGGATGTTGTCCGTGACTCCAGAGGAAATGTGGTAATCAAGGGCTACAAGAAGGCAATCAACCATAATAAACATATTCCAAACGTATCGGTTCCAGACACGGAAAGCCTTCATAACTTGAAATTGTCTGAAAACTCTTTTGATGGGTTGTATTAGTATCGCAAATTGTAAGGCAAGTAAATATTCGGTAAACAAGACACGTGAGCCTGTGTTAACTCTACATGTCGGATCGCATGCCGCTAAAACTCTTGTTTAATCAACCTTTCCGCGGTCATCCACCGTTGTTTAATACTCCTAAACCATTCTTTTCTGCTTGCGGTTTCTGAACATGTATGCAAATACAGCCAATTTAATTCAATCCAATTAGTTTATTCTCGTCGGTTTTTGTGAGGACACGTCCTCGAAATTTCATTTCAGGAAATATCTTTGTTCTTATGTCAGCCACCGTGTGAGGCATATCCTTCGCATTTTTTTCTGAAATAATCTTAAATATTTACATCGAGCCGACGAAAAGTTCTGGACACTCTGTCTCACTTAAGACGAATTAATAATGACCCATGTTGAACAAAATCAACCTATGTTCAGTCACTCGCAAACACCATGGTGCTAGATTTGAAAGCAATGCAAACAAGATCAACAAAATTACAGATACAACCGCTTTCTTACGGCGATGAAAATTTTCTGGGCAACTCCGAATTTTTTTCTCGACAGTGCTGGAGGCTGCCAAAGCAATTTAATGTGTTTATATCTTATGCAGAATGACAGTTTGCCAAGTACAAGCAAAACAGAGTGAAATGTAACAAGCACTTAAGCTCAAGCTTACATTTGAGCTCTTTTTCTCAGTTTTTCCACTTCACCTGCAACAACTCTTTTTATTAAATATTTCAGCTTGTCAACAAACCTCAAAATCGCTGATCTTCACCGGTTGCTTGGAATCGTATTCTGGCAAAAAGACAGCTTCACTCAGGGGAACGGGCCAAGGTGTTTTGTAGGAATAATTCCCAGATTCCGTGTACCGTCTCCTAAGCGATCCCTGGCTAGCGCTTCGCTGTAATTGTGGCTTGGACGATTCGGTCCACCTTCCTGGCTTTTCAACAGCTATACTGTGAGGTCTTTTCTGAAGTTTTCGTTGCTGTGAACGACGACCTTGTGCATTTCCCATTGCCGCTACAAAACTGTCAAGTTTATCTCCTTTCGGAGCAAGTTCCGACTTGCTTCTTTTTCTTCTCAAGCTTACTTTTTTTGCGCGAAAATTATTTTCGCGGGAGTTACCGAATTCCGAATATTCTAGCCAGATTTTGGCGAGTCCAGACTCTCCTCTTTGAATACGGCTCGTAGACTACTACTAGGAATAATTGCTACTGCACGAGAAATATGAATGAAACCAAGGCGACATCACTAGTATAGTCCTTTGAGTTGCAAATGTGTTGACTGACAAAGTCGCGCAAAGTGAATTTATGTTGTGGCGCGCTCCCGAGAAAAGGACTGGTACCGATACAATGCCCAAATATGGCGAAGTCAGCTTTCAATCCGGGAGATTGCCTTTGATGGAACATGGAAGTCCTTGCTGGGTACGATTCAAGCTCTTCTGATGAAAACGCGAAAATTCAGCAAAATTCAGGTGATAAACAGGTAAGAAATGTCTCAGAAAGATACTTTTATATGTCAGCGATGCTTCTATCATGTTTTATTGTTTTTAATTGTCAAAAGAAGCTAGAAATTTCAAGTTTGAATTGAATGATGAATGCATAATTCATCAAGCCTATAGTTTATTGTAAGTCTGAAACGCGTATGTCTTATATGCTTTTTCCGTAACTATAAACCACTCTTTTAATTTCCGTTTAGTTGTAGACTACTTAGACCTCTTAGTTACAACAACTGATCCTTCGGCTTGTTAGATGTAATATCTTAGCTGTTTTCCGGGGTGAAATGGATTAAGTCTTTATCAATTTATTTCTTTCCCTTCGCTGTAGACTTCTTTGAAGCGAAGCTTATTTGATTCTCGGGAAAAATGGGTTTGCAATGGCTAACATTTTGCATTTCTTGCCACGGAAAGTATTCACATTGCTTTGAAAATGCCATCACCCAGGAGTGACAAGAAAGTGACATTTACAAAGTTTGTCTATGAACAGTCGGAAGGAACATCAAGTAGCTACATGTATCATGTTTCACTTTTTCTAACCTGCAAAAAGCACACCATTCAACCATTCATTACTGAGTTGAACTTTTGAAGCTTGAGCTGTCTATCAGAGCAACTTTTGAATATGGGGCTACAGTGGAAGTTAACTAGTTGAGGTGGCTCATAGACTCATGTAAGCACACAGAAAAAAGACTGGCAAAGAATGTTGGTCCAAATGTCCTCATGCAAAATGCCCCTGGGATTGTTACACAGAATAAGCTTACTTGAAGACCCAAAACTTTGTCACAGAACGTTAAAATACAAACCCCCCTCGCCCCAACCCTTTTGGCCAGCCACTTTATTCTGGCCTGGAAAAAAGGCCAGTAAGTCATTTTTGACTTTGGCTAATCACAAAATGCGCAGTATGTAGGATAAAGGATTCTGGTGGTACGGTGTTCTGTAGTTTGGCGTAAATTGTCTAACCTGGAGGGCCAAGTGACTTGTCTCAGGCCATCAGACTGTTTTCACCTGTTAAAGCTTTTCATTCCAGCAAACTCTGTGAATGCAAGCCAGTATGCAAGAAATATTTTTTTTATTTCTGAGAGTTTATTTATAAAATAAATACCATATCTTTATCCATATATCATACCATAAAATTCTCTGGCATTAGTAGCTTCATTAAATCATTATTTGCAACTTGCAATTTTTTATCAGTCTTAAAAGTTTTATAGACAACTGAAGTTGGACAAACATTTCAGGGAGATTTGCATGAATCCCTAAGCATTAGAGTTTCAGAGGAAGCCACATTCTTGGTAATGCCATGATCTGCCTTTTTATTGTTGCTGATAAAATTGCACTTTGTCTTGTTTCGGTTATTTGCTTTTTTTAATGCTATGCTGTGTTCCAACTTAAGTGAACCAAAAAAATTGAACAGTTTACAAGAAAACCTAAAAGTAACCTTTCATTTGGACCTTTTTTTGTGTGTTTTATGCATTATCTTGGATCAATACTTTTTGTTAAGATGCAATGTGCATTTTTAAGCATGGCTCTGCACCTTTGACTTCAACTTTGTGACAGTATTTGATGATTTATTTCAATTTAGAATTACTTTTGGTGAAACATCAAACTTTCAGGAGACAGGTAGGACAAATTTCCCTATAGTTTTGCTGGCTGAATTTTTCTGCTCCCCCAAATACATATTAAGCAGCACTTTGTGTACGTTATTTTATCTTTGCTTGATTGTTGTTTAAAACAGAATAATTTATGGTCTACAGCTTGCAAAACCAGATAAAAAGGCATCAGTTACCAGTGACATGGAGAGTGAACTTATGACCCAGAGTGATGATTGTACTACACAGAACAATCAGCACGAGGAGAAGTCAGAAGAGAGGAAAGAATCATCACATAGCTCATCTCGAAGGAAAAGCTCCCCAAGCAGCCGTCAGCGAAATTATCGCAAGAGGTCTGTGTCAGAATCTCCGGAAAAATCACCACAGAGAAGGTCTCCAGAAATCTCACCTCCCTCACGTAAAAGAAGTAGAAATTCAGATTTTAGAGGTAATGGCATCAGTTACTTGATACATGTATTGAAATGTGACATCAAAAACCTGTTTGGCTTGGCCAGCAGAAGTGTGTCAATAAATCTATGGCTTAGTTTTACAGTGTAATATG